TGGTTATAACCCGAGTCATTTAGCAGAATTGGGTCAGTGTGAGATTTGTGGCAAGTTTCAATGTCTCAAGTCATGTCGCATTCCTGTTTTTCTTTGCCAAACCTCAGAAAATGCCCAGGCTCCCCTATTCCCACATTTTCTCAGTAGGGCCAAGCCTCCTCTTGAGCCAGCAGGTCAGAAGGGTGCCCTCCGGGGGTGCGTGTGCATGGACTTTCCGGCATGCGTGTGCGTTTCCTCTTGCATGCGTTTGGTGGTGTTTGGGGGGTGGGGATAAGGGTAAGGGGAGCTTGTTCACTTAGGAGGATTTGAATTCTCCTCATTTCATGCCAGCTCTTCCTGCATGAAATGCACCTGGTGCCATCCACTGAGGTGTAAACTTCCAGTCTGGACCAGAATCTAGGACTGACATAGGCACGTCAACCAGAGGCCCCTGAGGGCCCAGAGTAGGTCTGGAGGGGTGATTTTTAAAATCTTTGTGTGGTGAAACAGTTTCAAAATTACTCTGTGTAGAACTGAGAAAGCCTGTTGAACAGTTTCCATACATGTGAACACATATTCATTTGTGTTTGCCGGGAAGTATTAAGGGAAGCTTGGCACTAGATGCTCATGGGTGGGGGTGAGGGCTTAGGAGACTGGTAAGAAGGGCAGGCACCCAGGAAGAGAGGACTGGGGCTTGAACCTCTGAAGGGAGCATCAGAGCACATCTCTTCCCACCTCTGGTCCTTTGTGAGTCCCTGCAGCACCCCTACATGGTGTCTCTCCACCTCCCCTCAGTCACCTGCAGCAAGGGGACTCTACCCAGCGTGGCTTGTTGCTGGACATCTGTCATTGGTATAATGTTCCTGAGAGTGAGTAACGTCTGCATTTGGGGTGCCTTCCATCAGCACTGACCTCTGTCACATCCCCTCGTGTGATACACTGTGCTGTATAACATTACACCCACATATGCACAGAATCACAGCTAGAGCCAAAGCCACTGCAGAAAGTTTGACTAGGAAGCTGTATTTTCTTCGTCTTTACTGACCAAGTTACTAAACACAGTAATATTAGTGGCTATTATTTCAGAAGGTAATACCACTGTGCCAAGCACCATGGGGGCTATTTTACATACATCATATAACTTTTAAACCCTTAACAACTCTATTAGATTTGGTATTATCTTTACTTAGAGAAACCAAGGCTTAGAGCAATGGTTCTCAACCTGTGGGTTGCAACCCCTTTGGGGGTCAAATGACTCTTTCACAGGGGTCACCTAAGACCATCCTGCATATCAGATATTTACATCATGATTCATAACAGTAGCAAAATTACAGTTATGAAGTAGCAACGAAAATAATTTTATGGTTGGGTGTCACCACAACATGAGGAACTATATTAAAGGGTTGCAGTATTAGGAAGGTTGAGAACCACTGGCTTAGGGGGTTTAAGTAATTTGCCCAAGACCATCTAGCTAGTAAATGTATGGACCTAGGATTTGAATTCAGGTGTGCCCATCCTCTAAGCTTAGACAAGTTAGAAAAGAAGTTGAGAGTAATTCAAGAAAAATAAGTAGCTGATTGTTTTCTGTGGTCTCCAGAGATACCCATTTGTAAGCTACTCAAAATTTTTTTTCACGAGCTGGGCACAGTGGGCTCGTGCCCGTAATCCTAGCACTCTGGGAGGCAGAGGTGGGTGAATCCTTGAGCTCATGAGTTTGAGACCAGCCTGAGCAAGAGTGAGACCCCATCTCTAAAAATAGCCGGGAGTTGTGGCAGGAGCCTATACTCCCAGCTACTTGGGAGGCTGAGGCAAGAGTTTGAGGTTGCTGTGAGCTGTGATGCCACAGCACTGTACTGAGGGTGACAAAGTGACCTCCCAGCTACTTGGGAGGCTGAGCCCAAGAGTTTGAGGTTGCTGTGAGCTGTGATGCCACAGCACTGTACTGAGGGTGACAAAGTGAGACTCTGTTGCAAAATAAAAAAAATTCCTTTCATAGGATACTTGATGAGGGGACAAAAAGTGCTGAAAGCCCTACAGGGTTTGCAGAAGCTCAGACTCCCTGGTATGGGTGGATGAGAAGGCCCTGAGCTCCATCAGATGCTCCCTGGCCATGAGCACCACCAAGTCATTGGCCCCTCCTGCCTGTGCAGGCCTGAGCCCTGGCCTTCTTCAGGAGAAAATTCAAAGCACGGTCTTTGAAAATAATGTTGGGGATTTAATTAGGCTATGACATAGCCCAGTGGCATTTTTAAGTTTTTTATTGAGGTGTAATCATAAATAGGAAAAGACATTATTTTTGTGCTATTAACAAGAATACCATAGACTGGGTGACTCAAACAACAAACATGTATTTCACACAGTTGTGGGGGTTGACAGGTCCAAGATCAGGTGCCAAAAGATCCAGTAACTGGTTGGGGTTCACTTCCTGGCATGCAAATGACCATCTTTTCGGGTCCTCTCATGGCAGAGAGGAAGAGAGACAGAGGGCTCTCATGTCTCTTATGCGGGAACTGACCTTGTTCACAAGGGCTCCACCCTTACGACTAACCCGTCTCCCGATTCTATCACATTGGAGGTTAGGACACAACCATTCGATCCATACAGGCACAGATCATAAGTGTACATACAGTTTTATGAGTTTTAATGAACACATCCATGCAGTCAACAACTCAGCGGGGAAAGTTCTCCCCATCACCCAAGAGATTCTCTCATGGCCCAGTCTTCCCCCACCAGAGGCAAGCCATGGTTTGTCTGGTGTTTACCATGTTCTCCTCCTCTCTAGAGAGGGAAGAATGAGGATATGCAGTGGGGTTTGGAGAACTGTGCTGTCCTCACTGTGGAGAGGAAGCACCTCCTAGCCTTTTCCATCCTATATGGCCTGCTCACCTCAACCTAGTTGCAGCCCTGGTTGACAGGGTGGCCTGTGACAGAGGCAGTGAAATAGATTTCCTCCCCACAGAGAAAATTACACACTCTGGCTGCACGGGTGGCTAACTCAAGACTCAACAAGTCATACAATTCCAGAATTTGCTGAACATCAACTTCAGTGAACTTCATACTCTTAAGCTAGTTGTATTTCCCTCCCTTCATAGACCATTCCTAGTCGATACATTTGTAAACTACATAAAATACCTGCCCTATGTAGGTTCAGGTAGAGTTTAACGTGACAACCCCTCCGGGTTCCACACAGAACCCTCCTCTTTCTCACATTCCAAGCCTCCCAATAGGTAGTGGTGAGCTTTTCTAAACGAACTGTTATTCAACTTGGTGAATGAGTGGGTGTTCTGATTCTTCACGAATCCTTATTATGAGTGGGAGCTCTCATTGTGTTCTTCGTGTATCCTTGTTATTAGCACATACTGTGATGTGATGCTTATTTGGTGAAGTTTAGAATAATTTGCATAGAGTAAAATATACTTAACTCAAAACTTAGACTGAACATAACTGAATCTCCCCTGGATGCCTCCACAAGGAGTTGAGACTCTTGCAGGCCTCCAAAAGCATCACTGCAGTTGTATTTAGTTCATGGAGAATTTCTAATTGGCTAACTGAATGGAGAATTTCAGGGACTAGAATATCAGGTGTGATCTTCCCATGTTTGCATGTTCCATGTATAACATTCTTACAGTCCACGTGGGAAAACTATACTCAGAATTACGTTTTGAATTGAAAATTTATCTAAAAAACTTCATGTGATTTATTTAGAATCCAACTTGCAAAATATACCATTATTGGCAGAGCATGGGCTTTAGAATCAGCTATACTTGGTTCAGATCAGGGCTCAGTTATCTACAGATTTATGTGTCCTTGAGCAAATTACTTATCACCCTGAGCCTCAGTTTTCTCATCCGTGATATGGGGCTAAAAATGGTACATATCACATAGGTTTGCTGTGTGGATTAGATGAAAAAGCACATGGAGGGCTTCACAAAGCCCAGCATGAGGTGCTCAGTAAGGGACAGCATTGCCAAAAACAGCATTTGAGTCAGCGATTACTTTCTCACCACCCTAATCAGCCCACTTTGGAGCCCTATATTTTACTCATATTCTCAGACAAAAAGGGATATTAAACAGCACCCTGTAATTCAGTTAGGGTATCTCATGGAGGCCGGGGAACAGTGGTGGCAGCTGGCCCCAGGCCTCTGGTCCCCAGCCAGCATCAAGGCTGAGCAGCTCCCCTTGGCATGTTCACAGACGCATTCTTCACAATCTCTGTCCTGCAGACTGCTGCTCTTAAACTTATGAAATTGCTGATGTAATACAAACCCCTCTTTCCATAAATGAAGAAACTAGGGCTCAGATGCCTAAGTGAGTTTCCCGTGCACTTGGCAGAGGTCTCCTGACTCCCAGGCACCCCCTAACCTAGAAGGAAACAGCTAACAGGAGAAAAAAGAAGAGGATGTTGAACCAGCTATCGAGTTTTCACATGGTTCTTGCAGCCAATTTCTATTATCAGAAATGCCTCTAAAGAATTAAAATTCAGCCATTTTACCCCATCTTCATAGCTCAGTTTGTAAAAGTCCTGGTTTGTGAGTGGTAGGAATCCTTGTAAAATCCCTTGTCTGAAAGCCCTTTCTCCTCTTTTGCTGGGAACAGCTATTATATCTAGTGACCTTTGCTACATCCAGTGGTCACTGGCCACACTTCTCTCCATGGCCAATATCTTGCAAATATATTCATGGGGCCCCAGTGAGAGACCTGATGATGTGAAGTTCCCATCCCTTCTATCAGCAAATATCTCCTGCTGGGCCTGACACCAGCATGCATTCAGTCCTCCGCTGCTTACTTTACCACAACCTCTGTTTTCCAGCCTCTCAACATTGCCTACAGCCACATCTATAGCTCCTACAGGAATTTCGTGGGACCCCCTCACTTCAAGACCATCTGCAGACTCCTGGGTTACCAGGGCATCGCCGTGGTCATGGAGGAGCTGCTGAAAATCGTGAAGAGCTTGGTGAGGAAGGGCCTCAGTGCACGTGGGGTGTGTGCAGGTGGGGTCGAGAAGAGTGGGATTTGCTTTCACTGTCAACCTGGCCTGTGAAGTCAAATCCCAGGCACTCCAGCTCTGCCTGGAGAAATCACCCAAAGAGTCTTTTGCTCTTATCCTTTGGTTGGTCTTACTTATCATCTCTTGTGTTAATTTCTGTGCACTTTTTGATTTGTAGCAGTGACTACCATTTTGTGACCTTGAACTAACTCAGGGTGAGTCAGTGTGTACTGGATGACTGAACTCAGCAATCGATTTTGATCTTCAGAGCCTGCTAGTGACTGCTCCTCCTCCTGGCTATGCTTCATTTTCAGAGCACAGCAAATCCAAGATATACCTGCTGAAGTTATCTACTCCCATGCCCATGGCAGACATCTCTAATCAATCACCACACTTCTTCCCTTTGAGATTTCTTGCCAAAACTTTCAAAATACTGCAGTGGCTTCAAGAGAATTCTGTACCCCTTTACCACCATTCTGAATCTATCCCAAGTGTGGCCATCTGAGTTTTCTTTCAGTTCCCTGCAACACTACTGAAGTAAGGCCGAAACATTTAGCCAAGATTTTCCTAAAAATCTGGGAGGATAAAAGAGAAAAAAATAACATATAACCAGCTCAAGAATAGCAAACAGGATTCACCTGCTAACTCAGATTCTTTGGCAACAGCTATGAGGAGCCATGGGTTGTTAAGCTAAATCCAGAGTAAAACAGGAAAATGTGGTAATTGATTAAAGATGTCTGCCTTGGACATAGAATGGAGGAAATGTGCTGTTTATTTTCCAGGCTTAAATTAGATAATGCCTCTCAATCTCCACAGCACCCTGGCCCCATTTTGTTTTAACTCCTAGTCTGGATATTGTGTAACCATCCTCAACCCCAGAAAGGACCACACACCTAGAAATGTGCCTTCCTTGAAATCTTTAAACCCAAGAGAGTAACAAGAGGGCTCCCTTTCTCTTTTCTGTCTTATGAAGGCCCGTTTTTCCTTACAAAGGACAGAGGGGCTCTCCCCCACCTTTAGGCAACAAGCTGCTCCCTCCTCTCAGGGAGCACTGCCTTACACACAGGTCTCAGCAGAACCTCCCCACCCAGGATCCGGTAGCCCAGCATTTAACCCTGAGATGCACGCATGCAAGCAGTGGACGATCTCACTCACCTGTTTTCTTTTGTCAGCTACAAGGAACCATTCTCCAGTATGTGAAAACGCTGATAGAGGTCATGCCCAAGATATGCCGCCTGCCCCGGCACGAATATGGCTCCCCAGGTTGGTGACAGGAAAATAATCCAAACCCATGTCATGGTGGGAGGAGGCTGTCACCACTCAGCGTGGAGTGTTTGCTTCTCTAACATGCGGGTGAGCTGGTGGCCACTACCTAATCCCCCGAGTGATGGTATCATCTTCAGCAGGGGAGGTAAACAATGCCTGCTGGGCCTGCCCCTCAGGCCTGCTGGGTAGCTGGGCAGGCACAGCACACGTGAAAGTGTTCAAATAATGAAGAGGTCATCATTAGCTCAGAACCTCCAGGAGACCTCCTTCCACTTGCTCATGCGTAAGAGGCTGGGGCCCCAGGCGGTGGTGCTAAGTGACATCTAACATGAGTCAGGAAATAGGCATCTTTGGCATTGGACCTCGGGGCAGAGGAAAAATTTTTTCCTTCCTAATAGTGAAAGGACTAAAAATGGGGCCCAGGGAACAGGGAAAGCTTGTTTTTGTGCAAAAAGCACGATGTCAGGTGCTGGGTCTGTATGTTTCAGACTAAGAAAGGGATGGGGCCAAAAGCTCTGGTATTGAGTTCTAGCTACCCTGCTTCCTAGCTGTGTGACTCTAGGCAGGCCACTTACCCTCTCTGAGCCACATCTGAAAGTAGGGGTAATAGTGGCTCATTCTTGCTCCTGTTACGAGTATTAAGTGAGATATTACTGATAAAGTGCTTAAAACAATATCTGACATCTATAAATACAGGATGTCCATAAAGATCGTGTGCAGTTTATAATAGTTGCCTATAAATTGCACACACACTTTATGGACAACCCTGTTAACTTTTCTGTCACTATTAGGAATTTAGGCAATTTTTTTAGCACAAAGAAGACAGGTCCAGGGCTGCTCCATTTCTGTTTTTGCATTCTGAAAAAAAGATTTGAGTTAGCTTTCTATGCTTTTTTCTAGTACTGAGCGCTGAAACAAATCTCTCCGCTGGGCCAGCATATAGAGGGAGGGATGCATGGCTTGGCTCTTAGAAGCCAAGAGCTGTGCACTTAGCATTTCTCATAAACGAAGCTGAACAGTCTCAATTCCCTGCTGAGTGGCCCTCTTTATCTCCCAGGGATCCTGGAGTTCTTCCACCACCAGCTGAAGGACATCATTGAGTATGCCGAGCTCAAAACAGACGTGTTCCAGAGCCTGAGGGAAGTGGGCAATGCCATCCTGTTCTGTCTTCTCATAGAGCAAGCTCTGGTAAGTCAATCTGCAGCCCAGAGGAGTCAGGGTGTCTCCAGATTGGAAGGGACCCTATCACTCAACCATTGCAGAGGCCCCTGCCTAGGAGGCCCTGCAGCACTGATCTGGGCCCTCCCAGTGTGGCTCACATGCTGCTTCTCCCATCCATGAAAACCGTGGAAGGGGCACCAGCCCAGTCAGACCTGGATTCCAATCCTGCACCCCCATCACCAGCTGCACTTAGGCCTTGGCCCAGTCATCTTGGTCTCAGTCTCCATGCACTTATTAAACAAATAGCTATCCTTTTGCCACCATGGGCCAGGCTCTGTGCTGGGGTACATGGCAGCAGCCAGCTCCTGCCTCCTGTCCTGTCCATGTTTATGCAGAAATGACATTGCTACCATTATAGCTGGAGCCATGACAGATGAGTGCAGGGTCCTGAGAACATAAGACAAAGAACTTGACGTGGCCTTGGGGCTGAGGGAGGACTTCCCTGAGGAGGCGGCGTGGGGAATGAGCAGGGAGTCTCCTGGTGAAGCTGTTCCAGGCTGAGGGAAGAGCATTCTGTGTTATCTTCACGTTTTTTTCTCATGGGTAGTTGGAAGAGCGAGAGTGCATGTGGAGCACACGCTGAGAGCTAAGCAATCTGTTGTCGTGATGGGGAACCAAAGCACACCCCTCGCCCCCGTGTTTCCACACTCACGTCCTCACAGAGCCAGCCACTCTTGTGCGTGAGTGTTTGCCTTTGCCAGCCCTGCCGGCTTCCTCACAGAGGAAGGTTCTCCACCTGCTTCCCTGACACACTCTGTGTGTCTCTGTTCACCACATGTGGTGCCCCAGTGGGCCCAGTCCCACCCGGGTGGGGTAGCAGGTCCCACCTGGAGCAGCAGCAGGAGACAGAGGTGTCCCTCTTGGGATGCCTGTCTCAGGACGCAGTGGGCATCTCTCTTGGCACCTATTCACCCATCCTACGCTCAGTCCACGGGAATATGGAGAGCCTGCTTGTCACCAGGCGCAGTTCTAGACTGTCCATAAATGGCTACAAACAAAAGAGACAAAGTGTCACCTGTTTGTTCTGGAGAGGAAGGCCAGTGACGTTTCGCACAACCAGCTGTGATTGGTGTACGAGCTGTGAAGGAAGAAATGGTGATGGGGTGGAGGGAGGGTGGCGACGTCAGGGAGGGATGTGCTGTTTCAGGAAAGGACAGAGCTTGAGGTCTTTAAGGAACAGAAGAGCCCCCAGAGTGAGCTGGTGTGAAGGGAGGGGGAGGACGGGCTGGAGGTGTGGTGGGAGCGGCCAGGCAGCCGGGCACGGAGGGCGAGGGGTCTGTGACCGTGGGCTGTTGAGAGAAGAACCCACAGGACAGTGAGTGGAGGATGAGGCTCTGTGCAGTCAAGGGATGCTCTTTGGAGGCATCAGGGGTGTGCAGAACATAGGGGAAGAGGAAGGATGGAGATGGAATGACGGTGGAGGGCTGGGAAGGCAGCAGTCACAGAAGGAGCCCCACAGCCAGCGCCAGAGAGGACTCTGCCTCTAACTGTCTCTGTGACCTGGGTGAGCCAGTCATTCCATCCCTCAGTGTCCTCATCTCTAAAACGAGGGACTGGGACCAGCTGCCTGAGAGGCTCTGAAATGGGGGCTGTTAGCTCTTCCTCTGTAAAAAATAATTGTGTCTCTGTTACCCCTTCAAATGGCCTCTTAAGACAGCTAATTGTTCCCCTTTATAACAGGTTTTTAACATGGTTCAGTTGGCCTGGGTTGCTATAGCAACTCAGCCTTCAGAAGTCACAGGGATAAGTGGGAACAACTGCTCACAGCCCCAGGAGACAGAGGAGGTGGGGAGGGCAGGTCCCTGAAGCGTCAGCTCCTGAGTATCTTTCTTGAGGAGCCGGGACTCACGGCATCAGTTCTGCATCTGCTGTGCAGACTCCGAGAAGCAGGCTGTGGGGGAGGGCTGCACGGAAGGGAAAATCTTTTCTCAAGTGCCTCGTCTGAGTGGCCACTTGCATTTTGCCACTGAAAACTACAGGACACTCGGGATCAAAGCCCCTCAGAGCTGAGAGAGATCCCCTTGAACAGTGGTCCCCAACTTTGTTGGCACCAGGGACTTGTTTCGTGGAAGATGGTTTTTCCACAGGGTAGGATGGACAGTTGGGGGGATCATTTAGAGATGATTCAAGTGCATCACATCTCCACGTCAGATCATGAGGTGGTAGGTTCTCATAGGCGCGCACAACCTAGATCCCTCACAGTGCCGTTTACAGAAGGGTCAGTGCTCCCATGAGAACTTAATGCCACTTACCTAACAGGAGTCAGGGGCTCACATGGTGATGCAAGGAGCGAGGAGCGGCTGTAGATACAGATGAGCTTCACTCACCTGCATGCCACTCACCTCCTGCTGTGCCACTCCCCTCCTAATGACCCAGTACTGGTCCACAGCCTGGGCGTGGGGGACCACAGCCCCAGAGCATGTATGCTCCAGTCCCCTCTATTCATACATGAGGAGATGGAGAACTAGAGAGAGGAGCTCTCCCAAGGTCAACAGCATAGCACAGCAGGGCTGCAGAGGTGGAAGAACTGAAGCTTCCAATGTTGATCCCAGTCTTTGCAGGGTGGGTGGGGTAGGAGGGAACAGAGCAGGGATCAGGGCTGGACAAAGGGTGCCCTTGGCTGTCTCCTCAGACAACCAGGGAGATCTCCGGGATAAGGCCCTGCTTTCCGAGATTAAAATGAGTCATAAACTTTCTAGAGACTTTTTTGTCAGAGAAGCTGAAATTAAATAATTAGTATTTAAGTGTGACATACCAATTGTTCTTAATGAAAGAGGAAAACTAATGGCAAGAAAATAAAGGAAAGGAAGATGCCTAATGGCTATCCAGAGAGAAGGGGCTACATAAACTTTGGAACATTCCTTCTTACAGAAGTCTCTGAAGCAGTTAAAAAGAATACAGTGATAAAGTAGCTTTGTACATATGAACATAAAAAATGGTGAAAGACATAATAATTGAGCAATAAAAAAGCAAGTTCTAGGACAAGACATACGTTATGATGCCATACATGTAAACAAATAAAAAATAAAACCCACAAAAGAATACCACATTGGAAAAAAATCTAGGGAAAAAGTAAGTAATAAACAGTCACTTTCTCTACGTATTAGACAGGAAACCAGGGTTAGAGGTCAACGGGGCTTTAGCCTTATCTGGAATGTCTTCTTTCTTTACAAGCAAAATATTGTTATTGATCCATAAATTAAAAATAGAAGTAGTATATGCTAGTTTTAGAAAAACCAGCAGGATATTGAAAAGAGCAAAGGTGAAAGAAGTCTTTTTTGCCTGTTTTTCTCTTTTTTCATTTTTTGTCTCTTTTTCTCATAGATGTGCAGAATTCTCTTTGGTTGTGGATTCCATATTGGTACATGTGCTGTAAACCCCTTCTCTCCTTCTGTGGCTTGTCCTTTTCTTTTAACAGAGATATTGTTAATATGTCATTGAGGTGATATAAACTGAAAAGTTTGATCATGTGGACAGAAGTATATACTTCACAAAGTTGACTGCTTCTGAATGTTTCTCGAAATTCAGGGATCCGAATTAGTACAGAAACCTGTGTACTTGTGCAGTCCTTTTTCTGGTTTTTGTTTTTGCCTTTTTTAGAGTGGTGGTTTTAGTTAAAATATACTGGTAGTCAAATGCGTAAATCCCTGTATGGCCTGATGAAAGTACATGCCCAGGTAACTCCCACCTGGGTCTAGATACAGAACATGTGCAGTATCATAGGTGGTTCTGTCCTGCCTCTTCCCATCAGTCCTCCAAATGGAACCATGGCCCTGACTTCTATTCCAAGTGATTAGTTTTGCTTGCCCTTGAACTTCATATAAATAGATTTATCCAGTAGGTTTTCCCTTTCCCGTTTGACCTCTGTCATCCAATATTGTGTCTGTGAGATTCGTCTGTGTTTTGGATGACTCATTCTTGGCTATTTCATAGTATTCTCATTGCATGAATAGACTAATTGAATCATCCATCTTATTGTGAGTGGACATTTGGGTGGTTCTTAGTTTAATATCATTACGAATAAAAATGCCATGAGTATTTTTGTCCATGTCTTTTGGTGCACATCTTGCAATTTTATTAGGTAAAAATAGTTTACTTAGAAAGCTAAACCTAGTAGTTTAGCTTCAATAGTTTTGTAAGCAGTTTTTGCAAATTATTTGTACCAATTTATACTCTCATTCAGCAATGCGTGAGAGTTTTAAGTTCTTCACATCCTCGTGAACAGTTGAATTTCTCCATCTGATAATCATGGCAATTCGGGTGGATTATGATTTTGATTTCCCTAATGATGAAGGATGCTGAGCCCCTTTCCGTATGTTATTTGAACAACCTCTTTTGTGAAGTATGGTTAACATTTTTGACTCTTCTTAAAATTATATTTTTCTTACTCATTTTAGGCTTTATATATCATGGATACATATATTATAAAGATGTTACTGTGGCTTATCTTTTGGTGAGCAGTAGTTCTTAAGGTCTAGTATAGGTTACCATTTTTTCTTTTATGATGGGTGTTCTTAAACTTGTTTAGAAAATCTACTCTAGAGTCATAAAGATATGTTATGTTCTAAAAGTTGTAGTAGAGTTTAGCTTTCAAGGCTAAACAGACCTATAAGTCTATTACTCCCTTGAAAATGAAGTTTGTGTTTATTTAATGGGGAGTAGAACTCCAAAGTCATTTTTTTCCCCAAATTATCCCAGCACTACTTACTGGAGAGACCTCCTTCCCCTGATCTAGTAGTGCTATGTCTCTTGTTGATCAAGTGTCTATAAATGGTCTGGTCAGAGCGGGCTTTTAATATATATTTGTTGCATCTAATCTGAAGTGAATCAGCATTTGTTAAGTATCTATATAAGGTGTGTCTCTTGTTTGGGAAGGAAAGTCTGTTATTAATATCTAGTGTTTCCTCTAATGTCTCCTATCCTGAGAAATCATAAGGTGGTCATTAGGCAAATAGGAACCACCAAGT